TGCTAATCTACGTCGAGGGAATTTAAGGCGAGCACCAGCTTGATCGAAATGGTATTCCCAAGGACCGAACGGACCATTATCCAGGATTTCTAAAGATCACCCTGTTTAATAATCGCCACCACCGAGCATCTTCGAGGAGTCACAAACCCGGAGTGTTGAGCAAACAAATTTAATCAACTTTAACCCCGTTCCAATTCCAGGCTTAATCGACGGGGAAGAGGGCAGAGGGTCTCGGATGCTTCAACGTCTCATCTTTGGCGGAGATCGCGTCGCGTCAACTTGGCCGAACTTCGGGAAACTTCGCCAAGTTCACCCACCGAAAGCGCTTTGTTCCCATTCGGCGAGTTGTCCCGGGAAGAGCGACGGCCAACCGAAATCTCCTGCAATGCCGTGATCGATCGAACACTTCATTTCGATCGCTATTAATTAAGCCGACTTAGGGTAACGAGGCGACGTAAACCAGGTCTCTGCATAACTCCACCCTCCTTAGGAGTTTGGGATGGATCTTTGGATTAGATACTCTCGACTAAATATCTCTCGCTACCCCGTCAATTAATTGCATTTCTTTATTTCATCGATATTCCCCTTCTATTTCATAACACGGAACTTCTCCAATATCAATTTAATGACTCAATTCTCTGGCTCCCTGATATTACGGCAGTTCAACACCGAGCTTAACTTCATTTAACATGCTAAACGAAAGTTCTGAAAACACGGTTTTCAGAAATTCTGGTTCAAACTCCCGAACTAAATTTCGAACCCACGGTTTACACGATATGCAATTATTGTTAAAGGTTTACACGGGATCACGCGATAAAAATAAAATAAGATATTTGGCATATGAATAGTATAACGATTTCATATACCATTTTTTTCTTATGAACTTTTTAAACCGGTGGAATCTCTGGAAGAAGATTACTCTTTAGAAAATAATTACGAAACCGATTGATTTCCCGGACTGCCTGAGAAAAATAAATTTTTTCTGACCGACCGCAGCATGTTGCGAATTTTCCCTGTGAGCTTTTATTACAAACCGGAGGGAAAAACGGGAGATGCAAAAGTCTAGGCTGAACGTATAAATGGTCTGGCTGGGTGTGATAACAAAAATATGTATTTTTCATTTGATTGCGTCACAAATCACATTCAGTGATAGGTGAGGATGTGATACACAGCTTCCGCGGCTCTGCGGCCGGGAGCGATTCGAAATGTCAGAAAGGGCATAAATTTCCAGGATATTCTTCCCTTTCGAGCGTTATTATTTTTTTTTTTAATAATCGCGCCGCATTCGCTAGTTTGCACCTGACTCGAGCAATACGTCAGGATCCATGGGTACTCGTTCATCATGAGCGTCATGCTATTATCCTCAGATTACGGTAATTGCAGACATTACAGGTGATACAGCGACACTAATTCAAGCTCGAATGGCAATTTCCGTGTATCTGAGATCCCCGGAATCCGATAAATTCTTCACGATGTGTCTTCGCGAATCTTTCGCACCCTGTCGGCTGTAGTGTACCCAATAAATAGTAAATTTTCCATTCTAAAAGAATCGATCTTCGAGAGCGCCATATAGGCCACGAATCGACTCGAGCGGCAGTCGGAAATGCCGATACCACCGGAAAAATAATCATTTTCCATGACCCAGATGAAATTCAATTTATCGCAAGCTCGGTTCCGTCCGAGACAGAGATTTGCTGGAGATATTTATTTCCCCAACAAGATCGGATTTTATTCCACGGTCGGGCCGATCTGCTCGGCGATGCGTTAAACAGAGGTCCAACCGAAGTGTTATTTTGAGTCCTCGAATGCAATATCGAAACTTTTCCATACCGCATTCCCACGGCATTTGTCTTCGACGAAGCCATTCCGATCAAAAAAGTAGAATAAGGTAAGTAAGGACTAATAAAAGGAAACACCTCGTATATTTTTATACGAATTCTTTCAAAGCCACAGAGGCAAAATTTTCGCAATAAATTTGTAAGTATGGGTCAAGGGCCGAGATATTTTTCGCTCGCTTAAAATTTCTATCCGAATTCATTACGTGTCGCCACTGAAGCGAATTTTTCACCACGATACATTCTTTTTAACGAAGAATAACAATTTTCGCCGGGAAACCGTGGTCTAGCCGGTTTTCATGAATACGAACGAGAGAGGAAGGGTGGCGCGTTTACATGCCACCAATTTATACCATAAACGATAGATAAGACCGGGGTAAAAAAAGAAACCATCGGTCAATTAAAAATTTCCGCTGCCAGGGAAAACTGATATAGTCTCCTGGACCCTAATTAAATACAAATGAATCGATTGCACCATTAATCGGTGGTCTCTTCCCCGATCTCCGAACCACCTGTTCGAAGTGAGAAACCGATTAGTGGTCAATCGACATAATCGGAAGGAACTCAGCCGAATCAGCATTCGAGAGAGACTGGTTCCAGCGCTCGACCGCACGTCACATCAATCAAACGTTAAATAATTCGACCGACCCTTGAAAGCTGTGCCGAATATCGAGTTGCGGGAAATCGATTGGAGGTACCTGGATATATCGATGTAGAGTAGCCGCAGAGAAAACGTTTACCGAAACGCAACGGCAACCGCGTTAGAAGAGTTCCCTCGTGCAGTCAAAGAATGTTGCCGCAGCAATTCGTTACCCGAGTGCAACACTGGGAGCCCCCGCAGGGTACACCGACCACGGTGGCCATTAGCAAGACCAGCTACACGAAGCGAGAAACCGATTAATGGCTAGTGGACGTGGTCGGAAGGAATTTAACTGAATTAGCAAGGAGGGGGAGGCAGATCCCGACGCGAGACCGCACACGTCCATGTTCTCGTGTCCATTGACCGGGCGTTGAATAGTTCTGACGCGAGGGAAACGTGCCATGGCGCCTCCGAGAATTGCCGAGAGTTTGTAACGTTGCAGCCCTGGATAAATCCGGGAGCAACGAGACAGGAGAAATCTCAGAGCGCGCTATTGCCAGGGACCTGCCGCCTCTCGGCGCATCCTCAAAATCGCTTCAAACCCCTGTATCTCTCCTTAAAAAAATCGCAACCCCTCATTTGATCGAACAACGTGAAGGAATGTACCTTCCCCGTCGAGCTGCAGTAAAAGCAAGTGCGAAAAAAGCAATGCAAAGACGTAGAAAGACATATAAACGGGTACGAGGGGCAGGTGCGTCGAGTATCTGCTCCCAGCGTTCGCCAAGTTGCAGGAAAATAAAGCGCAAGATGGTGCCGATATGGCCGCGCATCCAGGACACTATTGAAAGAGACTTCGATAGAATCTCTGACTCGGTGAAAAGGTTTGGATGGAGCTTCGATAACTCACCGTCGATTCGATGACGTCCACCAGGAAGCCCGACCACGTCGAAGCGAGAAACCGATTCATGGCCGGCGGACGTGGCTGAAAGGAATTAAAGCGAATTAGCGACTCGAGGTCGTGGGTCGTCATACCTGACCTCATATCCACGTTTGTACTCGCAGCTGCTCTTCGTTCGCCTCCACTAACCGCAGAGAAAATGGCATCGACTCCAGGAAAAGTGCCGCCGCCAGACGGAAATCATTTACGGACTTCTCCCAGCCCGGAAACGTCTCGAGCGACCGAGAGGAATGCTTACGAAACGCCGACCTGGATGAAGAAACTTCAGGACAAGTCGATAATTCGGACTATCCACTGCAGGGGAGAAGGGTGAAACTACAGAAATGGAGAGAAATCACCGTGACCTGGTGATTCAATTTTATTATACCATGGATAATGAGATTGCATTGGCAAGAATAAATGATACATACGAACGATGAATATTCGGGCCTAATGTGGAAGGATACCGAGGTACCTGTACGAACTTCACCCCCGAGGGTTGCGCGGCAAATGACCCCTTTGGCTTGCGGCGCGTCCTTTTATACCCTCGCTTCCCTAGAGCCCCCCTCCCCCTTGCCGCGCAACACGTGCGCGGTGCCTCCTCCACCTTCCCACGCACACTAAATCGTTCCGGGGTGTACATTTCCCCTCGCCACCTGTTCTATTAACTACTTTATTCAATGCTTAAGTGGATTACAGGTAAAAAAATTATAAAGCATTATTTCAATTAGCAATGAAACGATGGCACTATATTTGCTGGAAAAGATTTTCTCGTAGTCTCTCAGGGTGCACCGACAGCCAGAAAATTGGTGTTTGGCCAAGCGACGTCGATCGAAATTAACTCACCGAGATTACCCCGAGATGGATTACTTGTAATAAAGCTTCGGACGAGATTGAACGGATTCATTTTTCGAAAAGTCCCGGGGCCCATTCATCAACCGCCCCTCGGATGACTTCTGCGTTAATCCCCACGAACGCCACCTCTGATATAGACCTTTCCGACTTCGATGTAATTTGGAGAAAGCTGGATTTAATAACTTTTACCTTGGACCGGCTCCCTCGAAGGAAGTAATTTTCGAAATTCCCTCCGCGAAAGACTCCTGATGAGATTTCGCTTATCCGGGGGATTCGATGGAACTTTTAAGACCGAGATCGATATATTTGCGAGCTCCACTTCGTCAATTTTCCGCTGAGAAGAAAACGATCGTGTCGACTCTTTGTTCGGCCATTAATCATGCCGGGTCGTTAGGGGGTCTTAAGGACTAAGAATTTCTTTCTCGAATCCGATTTTATCCTAATTAAATTTCTCATTGGCCGGATGGATCGCGCCTGTGATTAGGCGATATTGTTTCCGCCTTCACGGCGAGATTATCGTGATAAATGGTCCTGGCCATTTGTCACGGATAACTTGATCTTGACGCCCCGTGTCGCTTCCGGCGACACTTCATCTACGGTCCTTATTACTTGGATATTTTACGGAAAGTCGAAGTTGCCCCAGGCTGACGTTGCATAAGACTGTCTACGTGCGACTGGAGAAGGTCCGAGTAATAATAAAAAATCCGTGTCTGTTGCAGGGGCAATTTTTACAGAGGACCAAAAAGACAGCCCGTCGGAGTTGGCATTTAAGTACGCCGTGTACAGGATCAACAAGGATAAGATCCTGATGCCAAATTCAATGCTAGTCTACGACATCCAGTACGTGCCTAAAGACGACTCCTTTCGGACCTCGAAAAAAGGTAATCGAGTCCATTCGTAAATGTTACTTCAAGTATTCCTGGCTACTGATTGTATAAGTGCGCAATTGCTCGCCGGTAAATGAGAGAACGTCTAACTAAGCTCCTTTCTCATTGTCAAAGCGATGTGCCGTTTCCGAAATCTTTCGAGCACTCTTAGACTTTTCTTCGGGCAACGAAAGTTTCCCGAGAGATACGATGGGGGAGTTTCGAGATATCGATAAGTCACGACTTTTCAGCTGGCTGACCTCGAGATAAAAACTCTCTGTCCCTTCCGAAAACGCTTCGTTAGGACGATTTATCCACTCGGAGATTCGAATCGCTTTATCGTCGGTAAGACGGGCGAAATCGAATAAAATAATTCCTGCCACTTAATACGTTACGAAAACGTTATATTTATTTTTATTTTCCGGCTCAATTTCAACGAACTCTCCCCATAGCGGAATCTTTGGTCTCACCCCAAGTTCTTCACCCCTTCTGGGGCGATTCCACTAAGGGTGGCAAGTCTCGGTCGCAAAAAGCCCGTTACCGGCAACATCGAGCAGTGGCGTAGTCTCATTAGTTATGCATACAATTTAATAACGGGGTGATGAACGGTGCCACGAGACCCCGTCGAGATCCTACCCCTGTAAGTACATTTTACCCCCACTTCCCCGAGCACGATTTCGTTCTCGACTATCACCGTAGCTCCAAAAAGATTTTCGCCTCAGTCGACGTGCCATCTTCTGCCCTGACTTCTCGCACTTATTTCATGCAAGTAGATGCGCCTTAAGGTATCATGGTCCGAATAAAATTACTATTTAATATATCAAAAGAAGCGCCAAAATGGCGGCCGGAGAGAATCCTCTGAAATTTGACGCAAAGGAGACACTTCCGCTGGAAATATTTTTCCCTCTATTTTGTAAAATTGGCGAGTAAATTTTTTTTTTTTTATCAAGACGTTGAGATTCCAGGATTCCGAAATCCCGAAAATGTCCGGTTTCCGGGAAAAATCTACCCCCGTATATCTTGGTGGGTTTCTCGTCCTGATAACCGTCTCGTCCACCCTCGCATTCGAGATGCGTAAATTATACTTATGCGACGGCGATGTTCATCGGGACTGACATTTTGAGGGGGTCCCCTACCGATTTTGGGAAAAGCTTCCTTTACGATTACGTCACTCTTATATGTCCCGAGATATCACTTCCGTCAGCGGTGGGCATTCTCTCCGAATTCGGAAGCGTCGGAAAAACACGAGAAATCTCGCGGTGGCGTTCGGAATTTATCTTTGGCCTAAATACAAAAATCAACAGCAGGATTAGCGCGTCTGGGTACCGTAGAAGCGGTTAAATAAACAAATGTCCGCAAATGCGTTTTAGGGCACCCCTTCGGCGTGCACCTGCGAAAGGGAAAATAAACGAAAAAAGGATATTAGCCTGGTAAATCGTGAATTTAGCAAAGCGGTCAAAGCTCGGGACGGACCGCCATCGTAGACGAGAGATTGTTAGTAAACTTCCGTGGATGGAAGTAACTTTCAACGACAGTTTGAACGAACCCTAATGGCATATTTAGCGGGGTGTCACCCCCTTCACCGACGACCCTCGCTAGCCGCCCCTTACCCCCGGGTATATCCATTTTCATGGGAACCTTGGTCTACATACATTTATACATACACGACACGCCGTCATATCGGATAAGCGGGAGATCTTTACAGGATCCACGTTACAAGTCGAAGGGGAAAAAGCATCGTTTCCCCGAGATCTTCCCCTAGAAGCCGGAGAAATGGGAAGTAACTTCCATAGTAAATTTCATTTCCGCGCTCCCACGGAATGGCCGCATAATGCCCATCGCCGAGTAGTTACCTTTTATTTTCCAGGAGTTCAGGGAGAGAGTGGCGAGGGACAAGTCAAATCCATGCGCGGTATGAAGTGGGTTGTAAAAAAGGTTTCTCGTTGTTCCGGTGATATACGGGGCCCCTGAAAAACCGTTCTTTATGGCGGCCCAATTTTGCCACGTGTCCGAACCAACATTTTTCCACGGTTTATGGACACTCGGTCGTGACACCCTAACCGAGCTGATTCCGGTATTTATTCCACGATCCGTTTCGACCGAGCGTTTCTTACGCTTTAATTCATTCATCATCCTCAAAACTTGCCCTATCCCCTTTAAAGAGCAACTTCGAGGTGGACTTGAGATTCATGGGTTTCGTTGGCTCGGCTTGGCAATGACACAACTTATTTGAATATTCAAGTCGAGCGTGATTAAATGAGAATTCTGCGCGTTAAGCAGCCCCTGTAAGTGTCGCGATTAAGGAGGGGCTGGACAACCCGTTAACGTCGTAAATCGATCCCAATTTATTTGTCACCACTTTTTTTACCGTCATGTACCAAAATAGTTTTTCTATTTTTTGTGTGTTTTCGAATCGTAATATTCACAACGAATGACTCGCGTCAGAGGTGGCATCGGTAAACTTCGAAAACGAGACACGGAGGGCGAGGGATAACCAGGACCTGCGTTCCTCGCTTCGACGAACCTTTTGTCGCGTTCCTTACGACTTCTGGCCTGGGCGCCCGAGAAATTGCATTATTCATAACGCAACTCCTCACCTTCAACCTGCCGTGGTTTATGCACGCGATGTACGGCCGTGTACGCCTCTCGAGGCCTCTCCAAAGACACCGAGGCCCGCGGACCGTTCGCCATGTTGTTTTGCGAACGTATGTCCCGTCCTTGCACTTCGCGCTTTTATGCCCTCCCCTTTTTTTTCCCCGGAAACTTTATCCCGCGATTTATCGCGGCACTATTCAAACTTTCGCGACGCTACAACAACCGGTGACACGACTCGCTGGCGAAAGTTCGCTAATCGCTCGTCTACTCGACGTTTTGGGCAAAGCCCACTTTGCTCGAATATTAAACGGCATTTGCAATTTACCCCCGAAGTAATTAGTCGGCTTGAGTGGATGGAAAGGTCTATTAACGCCAGACAGGGGACGGGAAAAAGTTAGATCTTGAAGCCTTCCTTGAAGTCCAAGTCGCGATGCAACTGCATCGGACTCGGGTCGATTCGGGAGATCCTATTTTCTCCTTATCGTCCGATCGCCTCTAAAGAGGGTTTTCGAATTTTCCATCCGGGATCTCTCGATTTTGCCAGCGTATCTCACCGCGAGAGTTTATGCCGGCAATAGCGTAAAGTCAATTTTCATCAGATTCCGTTTCGGCCCATCCTTCTATTTATCCTGCGATATTGGCGCGAGCACCGTTTCCGAACGAGAGCTCGAAAGTTTCTCCATTTGCCCCGCCAATATTTTCCTCGGTATACTCCGTCCGAGGTGTTTCCTAATTTTGGGTACATACTCCCTTCTATTTCCTCCCCGAGTCTGGCGACCCATCTCGAAGTCTTTTCCCCGGCCACGTAATTTCGAAGTTCCCTCGGATTCCTGTCAGAAACGTCGAGATCGAAATTGGCGATAACCGCGACGAGCTGCGTCTGGTCGGGAAGTTTTACCGGATTTCGTCGCAGAAATTCCCCGGAAAATTTAGCCACGACGTGGGATTTTATTTCCCAGAAGTGCACTTTTTCTTTCCGGCAATTCACGCGAAGGCGACCACCTTTTACTTCCGAAAATCGAATCCAGCGATTTTTGCCCCAGATGCGCGCAAACATCGTTGGTTCATTTATGTATAAGGGACGTGACGCGATATCGGATATTCTCTATTGACGTTTTCAAAAGTAGTTATGGAGTATGTAACAGGAATCGTGACCATTACCGGTCCCCGGTCACGGAATGGAGGATGCGGCAGGAAGAGCGGCCATTCGTGGATGTATCCATTTCCCGTCCATTTCCTCTAACATGCGGCATTTTGCGGCTGATCGGACAATTCCCTCTCCCGATCTCTCCTTCTCTCGTCATCTTTCCGACACCTAGCCATCTCCTAGGGAATAGGAGTCTGTTTCATAAATCTCCATTTGCTCCTTTCACGAGGCGGCCATTCTTGCCCGTTTCCTCGGACGGCTCGCCCGTGGGCCCCCCGGAAATTGAATTCTAAGCTCGATCTAACCGACCCCAACGAAACACTTCGTAAAACGTCAAACGAAAACGAACCCGGCACTTCGGCCACGCGTCGGCCCAAAAAGGGCACCAAAGCCGCTTTCCGCCTCGCAAGAAGCGAGAATGCCTCGAGCTCTCGCCATTTTGATTCGACCGGGTGGACGGGGGGAGCCCATAAATCGATATTACATTTTATTGCGCCCTTGATACGAATGCGACCGATAACGGGATAAACGGCACAATTTTTTAACGACGTTCGCAGCTTGCAAGCAGTTGTCCAGGTCGGTGCAGGGAATTTTTGGTCCATCGGATCCCCTCTTGGGAGCTCACATTCAAAGCATCTGCGAGGCTCTGGACGTTCCTCATCTGGAAGCCAGGGTCGACTTCGAGCCAACCTTCAAGGAGTTCAGCATCAACCTCTACCCCTCGCAAGACCATCTCAACAAGGCTTTCAAGGATCTCATGTCTTTCCTGAACTGGACCAAGGTGGCCATAATCTATGAAGAGGATTACGGTAAGTGGTTCATCTCGCTCCTCAACTTCTGACAATGTAAAATCTCCCCTTTCGAATTCCTCGAGGGTCTCGAATATTACATGGGGATCCTTCCAGGACTCGAAACTCGTAAAACTCATCTCACGGTATTTTCCAGGTAATCGGCGTTCCAATTAATCTCTCTCGAGACGCACTCGAGTAGGAACATAAATGAAATACTTATGAATCTCTCTGCACCCCTGAAAGCTCGCCCAGAACGAAGTTAGTGAAAAGTAATGCATCCCTGGAGGCGAGGTACAGGGATGTAAAACATCTTTCCATAAAAAAATCGACGCAAAGGCAGGCATAAAAATGACTGGATTTTAATATTAATTTATTACTTGGCACTCGGGCCATTTTTGCGAGGACTCCACTTCGGAGTTCGGAGAACTCGAATTGAACGGGAACCGAAGCGACGAATTCCGTCGCTTCTCCTGGAAGCTCCTCGACGACGTCGTCGACGATGTGGCCGTTGCTAAAAAGGGACTTGCAAAGTACGATTAACTAAGGAAGTATTCATACCTTCTAGGGATTCCCTCCATAAGTCCCTCCCCCTCGTTAGAACACAAATAAACCTGATCCACTCGCATCTGCATTAGCTCGGCGTGGTAGATGCAGCTGCCGTTTGCGTCCCGACGTTTTCGCAAGCCCTCGGCTCCTGGAAGTAACCTCGGCTCGCTAAGACGATGAATTGCAAGTGCAAAATACTCGCGGAAATGGGAATGGGCACTTGAATCGGTGGTTGTCTGGTACCGTTCCTGCGAGGAACGAGGGAGAAACTGAATGGAAACGGAAGTGACAAGTTCCGAGTTACGCTCGAGTTCTTGCCCGGCACCGCGGACAATGTAGAAGTTGTTGAAAACTCAACTAACACAACTTTGGTGAAAAATGGAAAAGCTACTCGGAATACCTAATGTACGGTTGGCAAAAGGTTTTCCGATTCAGGGCTCGTAGTTGTAGCCTCGATTGGCCTAACGACAAGCGGACATTTCTACTCTCGAGCACTTTCCAGGAGACGTGGACATTTTTCAAAGTACAGTTTTTATCGTCAATTAGAATCCCCGTCTTCTGGGAGAGTTACCGGAACGATCAGAGGTAGGACCGGTAAAATGGCAGCTAGGAGGAGGTGATCGATCGGAAACGGAAGCAAGCAAGTTCCGAGTTTCGCTAGAGTTCCAGACGCTGCCGAAGACAATGTAGAAGTTGTTAAAAGGGGTCTCGCACGAAGGATTCGGAGGTCCTTCCAGGGTGGTCCACGCCGTTCCGCGGCAAATGAAATTACACGCTTCTTTTTCCTCTACGTCGGTACTTCCCGTCCGGCAAGGACGCTCCGGAGTTCCTGCCTACCCTCAAACTCGAGTCCCCTCTGTCCCCTCGTTTGAGTCTCCGGAGACGCTTCTCGAAACAATCGCAAACTGGTGAGGGGCCTCGGTGTTAACTTTCTCGAAAATACCCTCGACCTGGATTTTCGACCGGCGAATTCGGGTCGATATTCCCTCGGACACTCGGTCGTCATTTCGGAAGCACCATTTGCATCCCCTTCGATTCGGTCTTTTTTCGATTTTGCCGGCCCCCTGGAAATTTTCCCACGCTACATCTCGTCCGATAAATCGAGGGGAGTGAAATAATCATTAATGGGCCATTTGAAAAGACTTCGCCCCGTTAAGGGTGGTCGCGAATTCCTGACGAATTTATGGGGGACGTTACAAATTGGCCATCGTCCGTTTCGTCGGCCATGACGACGCGCGTCCGTTCGGTTGACGTTTCGATTTGGCAGCGAGAGGCGTGACGATTACTCGTTGATTAATTTTTTCCATCTGCCTGGAGCCGTGACAAATTAGTTACCGATGAAACCGCCGATTGGAAGTGGTCTGTTTACGAGGAGAGCCATACGGTAAATCGTGCGATGCGCTGACCTGGTGGTTTTCTCGTTCCAGGACTCTTCAAGCTCCAGGACCTGGTAAAGTCGCCACCGTCGGTCAGGACGGAAATGTACATTCGTCAGGCTGGTCCTGGATCCTACAGGCAGGTCCTTAGAGAGGTTCGCCACAAGGAGATCTACAAACTGATCGTGGACACCGACCCCGCGCACATGCAACTCTTCTTCAGAGCGGTAAGTGTCTCGAGGAATGCAATTTGAAAAAAATTCAAGGGATCAGGCTATTCCCTCCGGGCCAAAAAGCTCTCCAGAATATTTCCACGACTTGCGGCACGATCAAAGGACGAATCTGCATTGCATATTGGTCAAGCCGAAGATTCTTCCCGACAAGCGAGACGCATCGGTCGACTTTTTCTCCCGGAATCATAAAGAATCTCGGACCCGGGAGGTCGATCGAATTCTGCGAGGCACGAGTATCGGAGAATCCCATCGGATAGCCTGGAGAGATCCAGAATGTGTGGATATCCCAGATTTATTCGGCCAAGTTCTCTCCGGGGTCCAAAGGAAGGACCCTAGCGGCTTTGTCGATAGGATCGGAAGGATTGCCCACGAAAGTCAGTGTACAGATTGAATTCTGTGAGAAGATGCTGCGGCCTGGATCTCTCCGGACCGTGATTGGTATTGGTCCAGCGGATCCATGGGAAAGGGCCGAGGGGATGATGATTTCTCGGCTGCACTATACGCGGGTCTCGTTCGATAAAAACTCGAGGTCGGAAAATATCGGAGCTGAAATTTTCTGCCCAGTTTTGTTGAAAATGGAGGCTACGGTCGCACGTAGTTACCCTATGGAATATTTGTACAATCATGTGGATCGTGGATAAAATCGCGTAATATCGCCGGGGGACAGAAATCCGAATGCACCAGACGTTCGAGAAATCGATGAGACGATTTCCAGGCAGAAGTTCGAGTTCCACCCGTGGCATACTTCCACTTAATCTTTCGACCGACTGTTTGAAGTTTCTCAGAGTGTGCCGCCGAAAGAGCGATGCTCGCTCTGCTGCGACAGGTGGAAGTGACTTAAGGCTAACCTCAAAAGTGACTTTGATCTTCCCGCCCGCGAAAATCCATTTATCCACAGAGGTGCCGTTCCTCCTGCTTTTCCCTTTTATTCTCCACGAAGTTCCTACCCCTTCTTACGGAGTAAAATCGCCGGATTCCATCAGGCACGACTCGAACTTTTTGAGTATTTTTTTTTAATTCGGTTATTCTCGGGCCCATTTGAAGAATTTCCAGGAAAATTGTAAAGGTTGCGGTTAAATAAGACCCGTTGTTCCGGCGATCGTTCTGATCGTGTTTAACATAGCAAGTAAGATCTTTCCTTTGGGCTAGCCGGGGCAATCTCGTCCGATGTGGCCAGGAAAGCGTTATTTGCATGCAGTCCCTCGGGATCGCTCGGATATTCTCTCCCGGTAGAATAATCAAAAAACATCCCGGCCTTTATATTCTACCCTTCCGGCGTCCCGGATTCCCGGGGATTGCCCGAAAGAATTACCCGCTTCTGGACGAGGGATCGATAGGTCGAAAACTCCTTCGGAGAACGCCGTTGTCGCCGGCCCCCTTTTCCGAGCAGACTTGTCCTCCATAATGAAGTACAAGACGGCGCCTTTGAAGACAAGACGTTGTCTCATGGAGTATCTTAATAACCCTGTAAATAGGTAACTGCCGCGTTATCGAAATGTCCTGGAAAAAATTCTCTCCTTTTCCTATCAATTATTCATAATTTACTCTTTATCATTTTTATACCCCGGTCTTAAATTCCCCTTGAAAAAAATTCCAGTTGATTAAACTAAATTACCAGCACTTTATCCATTTTTTCTTTTTCCGTTTCAGATCTTGCAGCTGCAGATGAACGACTACAGATACCATTACATGTTCACCACTTTTGTAAGTGCCGATAATTATTTACTTGACCCTGTACGATAGTATTATCTGTATATGCAGAGAAGTCTCTGTCATTTCAAGGATCAGTTCGATTCCTTGGTTCCGAAATTGACCTAAGGGTCCTCCTTTGAATTCACCCCAAAGAAATTTCTACGAGACAGCAGGAGTCGAAGACGATCCTTGATCCTTGTCCCCCTCGCTTTGGAATCGATTGATCCCTTTGATGTTCGGATTTCGAATTTACGACCACCTGAATTAGCATCCATTGGGGAAAGTCGTCGGGTCGTCATCGCGTTTACACGGAATATCGAATCGGAAGCATCTTAGGGCCCTAACAGTCTGGGAATATTTGACTAAGGGCCACGAGGGGAGGTTTGTAAATTCTCGAGGACGATGCACGATCTCTCGACAGGAGCAAGCATCCCCGGAATATCCAGTTTGCTCGAATCAATCACCGGATATTTACGAGGGTGCCCACCCAGTATGCACGGCATTACCCAAGCAATCCTTAAAATAATATCCGAAAATTGACGGTACACCTCTCCTCATGCATACGTTACGTCAAACTACTTTAAGCCTCGGAATCTGGAACGACCCGAAAATGTTCCAATCACTTACTCATTTAATTAATCGAACTCATGTAATTCATTGAAAGCCCCCGTGTCGCGGTATCGTAAGATCGGCATAAAGTACGTCATTCGCTGTATACGCGCGAATTTGCATACTATCGTTCATTCAAAGAGACCGGCGTGTTTGATCCTACCCCTTTCGTTCGGAGACGACATCCCCTGGGTCGATAAAACAACGGATTACCTCTAAATCGACAGAAACGTCCCCATCGGAACGCCATCTTTGTCATCCCTCGTAGTTCGTCATTCTAGATATAACCAAAGGATCGATTCTACTTTTTTTTTTTTTTAATACCTTTCCTATGGTGGATTTTTTGGATTCGGGAAATTTGAGGGGCGAAGGACGTTTCGAGGATTGGGATTTGAAACGAGATCGGGGCACGATACCGAATCAACGATCGGTTTTCCAACGGGTTGTAGCTAGTCAAGGTAGCGTCGAGGAGGCGATTAATCGACGAGCGTGATCGGGGCTTTATCGAGACGGCGGATCGATGTCGATATCGATCGATCTGCCCGGTCTAGTTTAATATGGTGCCGGGCACGTAGGTAATTTGGTAGATTTTTGGCTAATCGTTTCCTGGACCGATTGGCTTCCAAACCGGAGCCATCGACCAAACGCTCGCTTTTCCCGAGCAGGAAGCACCTGCCGATTTTTTCCCCTATTCAATTTCTCCGACGCTTTTCCCGCTTTCCAGCTCATTTCCGATCGCAGCTTCGCGTCACTCGAGCCGTGGCGAATAAATCGCCTCTCCAGCGGCCGTTCCGCGTCGGATGTTCCGCGGGCCGCGGTGACCAACGCTCGCGAATCAAATTGCTGGTCGATGGCGCGTCGGGCAAGATTTATTTCCATCGGATCGAATTCATGACGCATTGATTATCCAGACGAACCGACGATTTCCGGGGAAGAGTCACGATTTCCGGGGAAAAGTCGCGGGAAATAATGAAAATCTCCGATTTTAGTATTCCCTTTAGTTTTCGCGCGTCATCCATTTTCGGTGTCCACTTGCTTCCAGGATATCGAGACGTTCGATCTCGAGGACTTCAAGTACAACAGCGTGAACATGACAGCCTTCCGATTGGTGGACCTCGAAGAGCCAAATGTTGCCGAAGTCCTGCGGCAAATGGAACGCTTCCAGCCGATTGGCCACGCCATTCTCAATAAAACCGGAGTTATACAGGTTGGTCGAAAAAAACCCGAACGCCAGGTTAGCACCCTCGGGCTTGTCCACTTTCGGTCCCATCTCGCGCACCCCTCTCTCGTATCGGTGCATTTTACTTTCGCATCCCCTTTCCCATTTGCGATTCCAGCGATGCGCGAACGCGAGTCGCACCTCCTGAGTAGAAATAAAAAATATGTTCCAGGCAGAACCAGCTCTGGTGTACGACAGCGTCCAGGTTTTCGCCCATGGACTCGCGGCCCTCGACAGGAGTCACGTCCTGCGCCCTGCAAATTTATCCTGCGAGAAGGAGGAGCCCTGGGACGACGGCCTCTCTCTCTACAACTACATCAACGCGGTACGTTCCATCGATCCTTGGAGGTTATTAAAAGCAGGAAATCAGGATTTTTCGGCCACTCGCCAACCGGGAGATAAGGAAGCTTCCTTTCCTTGGAACACTCGCGAACTTCTCACGAGGGGAATTAAAATCCGAACTTTTTTACAAGTAGCCTGCATCTGCTGATAAGGGTGCACCTGTTTCTTGAATTTATTAAAAAGTTGGGGCGCCAGTTCTTTCCTTAACTCGTTCTGTCACTTAGCCCGGAATCCCAACATCCTGGCGAGCACAAATTGTCGGTTATTCATTAGGGCGGAATTGCAAATGTCGGCGCACTGACACGCAACTGCAACGCGGTGCGGATCCAACATCCGGGTTGACATAATTAAAATTGATAACGCTCCGTAAATAAATTTAGTCAACTCCCCTGAGGGATGAGAGTTGAGATTTTCTCTCCTGTCAAGCCGCGACTCCGATTCGCAAGAAATCCTGGAAAGGGTTCGGTCAAGTTGGACAGATGGAGGCCTTTAAAAAAGATTCTCGCATCTTGCGAATCCGATCGACTTGCGATCGTATAAAGGGAAATTTCGCAGCTCGCCGTGAATTTAACGAGCTGCCGAAATCGTTTGAAAGCAGCTCGATGCTTCCTTAGACGGTAAATAAGACGTCGTAAACCGAAACCTTTTATTCCCCCGTTTATGTCACTGGCGTGATAGTTCACCGTCGACGTGATATCGTCCTTTTTTCCGCATCTCCTGTATCCCCAGGACCCGGGAAATCCTCTTACCTCGGGTACTCGAGAGAATTTTTCCAATTACCCATCCGCCGGCTTCCTCGACGAGACCATGTCACATTACCTGAGCGGGTATTGCTTTATTTTCATTTAACCGGAAGGTACCTGGTGAATACGTCTAAGGGTTCGGTTTCATGCGAGAACCGCAGTATCCCCTTATTACGCCATGACTTTTTCATGGCATTTTCAGAAGAAGCCCCTTACACGGCCGATCTCTGTCGTTACGCTAAAGCGAACTAAAAAGCGAACTTTGCGTTACCGGTAAATGCCGCGTCGTTATTTAATATCGGAGCTAGGCAAGATCTTTCGGTGAGGTGTTTCAATGCTCTTTCGTGTTTTATGTAATTTATCGATATCTCCTGATATTACGGCGCGATATTCGAGAAAATGGGAAGTATTACCCGCTCTCCTGGAATTCAGCGTAACGCTCATAAGGTGGAATTTATAACGTGGAATATCTGATGGTTTTAGGAGGGGAGGGGGTGTGTTCATCAAAGGTGCATGTGCTAATTAAGACCGTGTTCCTGATAAAGCTCCCTTCTAATGAGCTCCTCGTTACATTTTACTTGAAAGGTTTTCGGTTTCAGACGTCAAAGCGAGCTGGTGATACCGTATACCGACCTCGTCGAAGAGACATTCTCATAAATATAACCCTCCGAATATTAAAATCTTACTAGGGCTACGTTCATTGACCGACCTCGCGCGTTTTAATCCTCGTTCCCCGAAGGTGACAAAAGTCCCACGAATTTTGTCCCTCGTTTTTAACTCCGCATCCGTGGAAACCCGTTCTCGTCGGGTTGAATGCATTTCCGACTCTGACGAGCGAAATCGGAAACGTTTCGGATCAAAATTGACCGAAATTGGACCGTGACAGGAGTACAAAGGGTTTCCACCCCGCCGTTCTACGAGTCCTCTTTAGGACTCGATAAATAATAATTCAACCTCTGTTAGCTAATAAAACTTTTCGAGCGCCCGTCATGTCGACTCGTGAAGAAGTCAGTAAAATTCGTTAAAAAATTCTAGCTGGATAAAATCGAGCGGATAAGTCGGTTAAATCTGTATCGACAGTCTTGGAAAGTTGGGAAGCTGTTCAGTTTAACGAGACACCTGCAACCTGTTGTCGAAGAAAACGAAGTTAGCGGCGGTCAACAATCCCGCGTTCTTGCATAAAGGCGCGAGGGGATGAGCGACGGGAGATCGAAGAATCCCGAGGGAGATGGCACGGTGGAGGAAGGGATTATGGAGAAGTTAAGCTCTCCCGAGGGAAGGCGCGAAAGCCGAAGAAGCCGAGTCCTCTGAAAGGCGGCTGAATTAGACATGGAAGGAGCTTTTTGTAACGCGCGAGAGAGGCCGAGAAAAAGCGGAGATAGCTGCGCTGGACGTTTTCTATTGGTCGTTAGGGGTCGACCGTAAATTAAGGAAATAATTACCGCGACGACGTCGTTAGGGCCAGGGAGGAATTTAAATTCTCCCGTAAATCCTGGAAAACGTGGACTCGTCGGAATAATATCGCGACTGATCGAGCCGTCCCTCTTCGGGGCATAAATGAGCGATTTTGACGAGCGACATAAGAAGGTACTTAGAAAACGCCCAATTAATGAAGAACGACGACCAGGATTTACTCCTCGGCTCCCTAAGGTACTTTAGGAAAGGATGTCCGGATTTAAGAAATAATTTGAGAAACCACCTCGGTCCAGGGAACGCAAGAAAATACTCCCGGCACGTCGGGAAATTAAACTCCGAAGAAGCCCGCTGATCCAGATGAAAATAATCGCGAACTACCAGGACCCAGTTAAGTCGATGAGTCCGAAGGAGGTTCGAACTTTCCGAATTGCGAGATAGGAAATCGTCCAACTTCTCAAGCCGGAGTTTCATCGACTCCATTTCTCTATCGATGAAGTCGCCACCATTCGGGCAGGACGAGGAATCGCGGTATTTCGGTAAAGCAGGGACTTGCTTAATGAAATATATATCTACCCTCCGCTCTCCATTATCGCTCTCGAGTGGCGCTCGATATTCGATATTCCCGGAAATTCCCCGGCGTTTCCCTTCGATTACCATACCGATCGAATCGAGCCCGACTTATTTCACAGCCTACCGAGATTTTAATGAAACTCTGGGACGCCGTTCTCGGAACAAACGTAAATCATTCTTTTTTTTTTCTCCCGAACTCGCAACTCGTTGCAGCTCCCACGAACGGTTTTGCGTTCGAACGGCACTCCACGACTATTCCCAACTACGGGACACAAATACGGGATTCGAGAGCGCAAAGCCAGCCTGGAGAAGGAGCGTATCGTTGGCACATGAATAATTAAACAGTGTAATTAGCAAATAGCTCGGTGCACGAGCTGGGTTCTCTTACACCCACGTGCGCGAATCCGCACCGAGCCCGACATGTCCGAGTACGATGCCATTCGTATCGGATAGGTACAGGTGCGTGTACCATTGCACGCACTGCGGGTGCACGCGTATGCAAGCAACTATCCTGAGCAAGCCGAGGCCGACGGGAGCCGAAGTCTCATTAGCCAGGAATTACTGACAAAATTGAACTTTGCGACGCGTTACCTAACCCCTCCATGAGTTCTTCGAGGTGTTCCGAGCATGTTCCCATGCTTTTCCCATTACCCCGCGATCGTGTACGTAATACCCCCTGGTAGATCTACACATCCACGTGATTTTTCGAGAGATATAGAACATGGAGGACCAGAAGGGCGGACCTTCCGTGCTAACAAGTTGCCAATGAGAGCTGGTGGGACCTCTGGCGGGTAATTCGGTGTAATGGAGGCGCTCGTAATGCACATTAATCGAGGAATGGCCTCGGAAAGCGTTTCGGGGAACGAATGGTCGCTAGGAAACGTGCCCATTTTAACCGACCGTTAACCTATTTTCCGAGGGACTTCTTTGGAAGTCGTACTATTGCAGTCGGCCATTCTCGACAAGTGCAACAAGGCGAGGATCTCCGCGACATCCAGAAATTCCCGTTAGCACGATCAAGCAAACCGTTTCCTCGCTCCTCGGCCGATTCCGCAACTTTACGAGTTCGTCGTCCCGGTTTGACTTTCGGGATCAGCTCGGTTGAATTTCCTCGGAAGGTCCTGCAAAGTCGTCGCGGTGGGGCGCGACGCGGACCGGAAGCGGAGGACGTTCCGCGTCCGTGGAAGCGACCCCCGCGACGTCCGCGGAACGGAATGGCCTCACATCCCGGAACCCGGGGAAACTCCGCGAAACTTATAAACCGGGACAATGAAGACTCGCGAATTATTTGGTTAGACTCTCCTCTCTCCGTCGCGCCGTTAGAACGCGTGGATCCCATTATAAGTTCGCCGGGAAGGAGCGGGCCGAAGACCTCAACTTTCGGCCGCGTCCGTTCCGTTCCGCACAACCCGGTCCCAGAAATGGCCCCGCACAGGCCGGCTCACTTCTCAAAGGAACCAACTTTAGTCGTGAGACGAGGCCCCGGTGGAACTTGGGCAACTTCTTTAAGCTCCGCGAACAAAGTGCCGGATATTTCGCCGCGATTCGCTTTGACGCCGTCCGATTCCATCTTTCTAACCTCGAAATGGGACGAAAGGGACAATTGCGAGTTAAGCGTGGAGCGATTTGAATTTCTTCTCTCCAAATGTATGGAGCTTTCGGCTTTCACCTTGAAGAGGCATTACTAAAGTACCAAGAGACCAACCGTCCGACCGCATCCCGGGGATTGATATCCCAAACCAAGGACTATTCACTTGGAAATCAATGAAAACGATTTCCTTTGATTTTATATGATAAACGAGAATACGAGTTGGTAACGAGTGACGGTTGGTCATAAAATTGTGCCAGTCTTTCGGTGAATTCCAACGATTTCCAGCTGACTTCCACATGATTTCAAGGGCTAAAATCCATGATTTCCTGAGTGATTACCCTCTCGATCTCAAAGGAACGACTCTGGAATTTTTTTTTTTCTTTTTTTTTCTTTCCGTGAGGACCCTCGGGGCACATTTTCGAGCTCCATCCTTCGACGAGAGATCCGGCGAACGCGAACGCCGCGATGCTCTCTCTGTAACTGAACGCTTGCAAATGGATTTATGCTGGCAGCACCTAACATAATTCACCTCCCATCGGCGTGTGCGCGAACGGGGTAGAAGAGCCGCGATGTAGAGCCGCGGTGTAGAGCCGCTATGTAGAGTCGGTGCCAAACCAGGGGTAATTAACGCGCAAATCTGCCAGGACGATTCCAGCGGAAAATCTCGCGCGAACTTTCCGCCGAAGCGTACGTTAACAGGGGGTGATTTACGACGGAAGAAATGGCCGAGTCTTTTCCAGAGGACGAGGACGAATGCGGCGGTTTCGACGCTTTTTGCCCCGCGGATTGGCTTCGAATTCTTAGCCGCGTCCCACTTGCATTAACACGCCGATAATCTGCCAAATCGGTTTTGCACGTCCGTTAAGGGTGGTCGCGATTAATTGTGATCATTTAGGAGGAAAAACTGCGACGCGAAGTGACGAATATCGGTGTTGTAGGCAGGCTTACACGGACTAACCGGCCACATCGAGTTCAACGAGGGCAAGAGGAACAACTTCAAATTGGACCTCTTGAAGCTGAAGAAGGAGGAGCTGGTCAAGGTCGGCGAGTGGAAACCCGGAAGTGGAGTAAACGTTACCGACGTGGGGGCTTTCTACGAGACCACGGCCACCAATATCACCCTCGTCGTAATGACGAGAGAGGTACCCTCCATTTTGCGATTACTTCAACATTCACTTCAGGGTCTCGCTACTAGCAAGAGATGGCACCTGGGGCTTCTCTTCTTCTCTCGAAATGGTCCCCGTTCCTCCCTTTGCGCTCCTTTTTACCATTAATATAAATTTCGAGATCAAAGCCGCGGTGGACCTCGTTACGCCGCGTCGAGAAAATTGCGGGGAAGTGTTAATAAAAAATTAAAGCAAGCCTCGAGACGAAGGATGGGAGCTGCAAAGCCGATTGATCGAATAACTTTTGATCGTAAGTTTAATGTTCAATGTTTGGACCGACGATCGGCTTCCAACTCCCGAGAGTACGTCGCAATTATCCCTGAGGTCGGATCGAGATGAGAGGTTATTTATCACTGCAGGAAAACCTGATTCGCCGATGCAAAAATCGAATTTGCATCGATCGTCCGGTTTTTATTTTCAGGGAGAGGAGAACACATTTTTAGGCACGCTCTCGAAAAGATTGAAAAAGGAAAAAATCGTCGATGGCACTCGGTTACAGTTGAAAGCTTGGGTCGTCACCGAGTTTCGTTTAATCTTGCAAAGTGACTACGTCTAACAGGGAATTTTTTGCTTTGAACAGGAAAAACCGTACGTCATGGTGAAGGAGGACAAAAATCTGACTGGTAATGCCAGATTCGAGGGCTTCTGCATCGATCTTTTGAAGTGGATCGCCAGTCAAGTCGGCTTCCAATACGCGATTCGATTGGTCCCCGATCACATGTACGGGGTCTACGATCCCGAAACCAAGGAGTGGAATGGAATAGTACGGGAACTCATGGAAAAGGTGAGCAGTGGAATTTTAACCATCTCGTAATTTACTTGATTTTTCACTCGGCGGCCTCTTTTATCCAGGAAATCCCGCATAAATATTTTTAACGCCCATTCGAGATACTCGCCAAGGTAGAGGATTCGGGAAATTTATGAACACGTGGAATTAATAAAGGCAAAGGGGAGGAAAAAGAAGTTTGTATGCAAAATACCCTGGAAGTATGTCGCAATAAATCCGACGGTGGGAGAATTTCATTATGCATACCACGACGAAAACATGTGATCTAATTTGATTTTTTTCCCGGTTGCTCCCTCCCACCTTGCAAGCTCCGGCCGGAAATGTCGGCCGGCGAGCTTCGATCCGCGAAACGTCCTACAGATGTTGCCTCCGGGAATTTGCATTGTAAAGCTCCTCTGGATTATTAAGTGTCCCCCCCGGTGTTCTTTCAGGACTTTAGTTGTAGTTTCCCGGAAACTTGGGAGTTAAACGTAAAACCGTGCAGGACAAGACAAAAAAATGGAGGAAGCACTGGGTGTGCACTATTTTTTAAGGAACGCGAAGAAAAGCTCTAGAGAAATTCCCGATTTTTCATTTTCATCCAAATATTTTCCTCGACCCCCTTGCTGTTAGTCAAGTATACGAAGGCTCGTGCACATGCCGAAGCGACAGTGAAAAATGAAGCTGAACTCTTCTCGTACGGTTTTCTTACTTTCCTTATTCCCCTTCAAGCACTTCAAACTTTATTGAAGAGAAAGAAACGGATCGATGATCTCGCTCAAAAGCTACACAAATTTCGAAACAACTATTATTTCATCCTGACTGCCCTTCAATAAAGACGAAGTACGTTTGGACAAGAAGTACGTATTGTACTCGTGGACATTTCATGTAGAGACTTTTTCAGAAATATATCAAGCGACAAGCTTTCAAGAAACTCTATTAGCTTTCACTTTGAAACCGAGTCGATATAATACATATAACGTCCGTATAAAATCGACAGCTTCTCCACCCCTTGCCGTCTCTTTCCGGTGGCGTCTCCGAAAATATTTCACCCTCCCGGTTGGTCGGTACCTTTAATAAATATTTAGAAAAAAATCCTCCGCCACTAATATCGCGCAATTTTACCATATACTACGATGTAAAGAAGCTCAGAATTTTCCTCGGCCCCAGCGTTCTAAATTTTAATAAGCGATTTAACGTTTGAAATCCACATTAAAATCTCGTAAAACGGGACCCTCTGGAGCGGAAGAAGAGCTGGAAGTACAAGGACGAATCGGCAGATCCGGGGCGCGAGTTAATAAGCGATTTCAATAAACTATCGCGTCATCGTCGCCGTGGAAACGAGCCGAGTGGATTTTCTGAAATTGTCGTCGCCAGGAAACAGCCGGAATAACGAGATTTAAACGAGGCGGAAGCTGTAAAGCGAGTACCGGCCCGGCAATGCAAACGATCTCGCTCGTCTTAACGACGCTTGCGACGAATTACTTCTAACGAAATCGCCGCAAACGATCGATCCCGAATACGCGTCCCATAATGCGTGATCTCATTACCGAGAGTCTATAATCGTGAAAGAAAAATTAATTGTTAAATTAACGGAGGGTAAAATAATTGAAAATAATTTCTCCAAGGCATGGAGGGTGCTTTCCGAAGGGAGGTGCAAATTTCGAAGGGTGACAAAGCAGCGCGTCCTTGATGAAGTGAATGAAGTCGTTCAGGGAAACGACGACTCGCGGTGGGAACTCGAATTCGCCCTGCACCTTGGGCGTGCAGTTTCAGCAGATGTTTGCCTTGCAAAATAGTGCATCAATTTTTAATAACGACGAGACGTCAGCCCTCCGCCACGAGAGTCTCTCGGTTTCTGGGTTAAGGCGTTCTCCCTTTTCACGGCGGAGAGATTGCTCTGCATCTTTCATAAAGCGCTGATCTTTGGGATCCGCTGAAATATGTGGTCGGAGTTCTCCTTACTTTGGAACCACCACTACAAACGACGTCCTCGTGACGCGTCCTCTCGATCTCGGGACAAAACTCTTTGTTGCACTTTCAGAGAGCCGATCTGGCGGTCGCCTCCATGACGATCAACTACGCCAGAGAAAGCGTAATCGACTTCACAAAGCCCTTCATGAACCTCGGCATAGGGATCCTCTTTAAGGTGAGTCCTGTAATTTAACACGTGTACCAAAGTACCTAGGAAAATCCAAAACACTGAAATTCAGGGTGAGACATTTTTTACCCTATTTTTAGAGACCGATAGAATGGTTAGAGGTATCGATCGTTACTCGTGAAGGTGTTTTATCGGGACAAGGTGTAATGGCTCAACCTGGATGTAATTTTCTTCGAGGTACCTCGGGTCCTCCGAGAGTATCTGCTGCAGAAGTTCGAAATATATCGAATAAAGTCAAGTCGAAGAAGGCCGGAGGCCTGTGTCGTTACCCGAGAAATACTGCGAATTTTTCGGAGTAACGGCTCGAGTATCTTAGAAATTTGCCGCGAGCGGTACAAGAGAAGAATTTAAAAATGGATAAAAAAATAATCAACGGCACAGATGTTCGTATTATTGGACAGATGATTTCGGAGGGTCGGAAGAAAATTTAGTGGTGGAATTTGAAGTCCGGTCAGGCGTCACGGGACGATCGATTCGCCGAGAAGGTTTGCGGAACGCAGCTCGCAAGCATTCGCTCGTTTCGCGGGAAAGTCGCAAAAAGAAGTAGTCGTAGAGCCTTAGGAGTATACAGGCATAAAAAGGAGCGATTTCGTCGCATCGTCGAGAGTCAACTTTATCCTCGCCCCGCTCGTCTGCCCGGAAATATTCTCCGCAGGCTCTACTTTATCCACTGGCTTTTGCACCCTGAGAAAGAAGTTGCACTCGCGACGTTCCCTGGCTTTCGCGAATGCTCCTTCCTTTCCTTTCCGTCTGAAAAAAAGATACTTCTTATAGAAAACCGAACTTTTATCCGATTTGCGGGTACATTCTCTCTGCAAATCCCGATCCAAGCCCGGGTTCCCAGGTGAGCCAATATTTTCCGACTTTGATAGCCGAACGAGCGACGAAGTCGCCGGAGAAAAATTTCACTTGCATCATTTATTTCCGACAAAATTCCCGATAATAGATTTTCGACCTGAAATATGGCATTCGCTTCCCAGGACACGGTCCACGACGTATCAATTAGGTTTACACGTATCGAGGTGTACGTATCGATAGCCGTTGACAAATCGATCGTCCTACAAGGCGCGACTGATTCGCCCATCGATTGGCCGAACGTTCGGATCGATCGATTGTCGAGTTAAAAAAAAAGCGAAGAAGTCACCTTGCTTCAGAACCGAAAGGGTTCAATCGAGGACTGTCAAAGGGGGACCAAAGCGAGTGCTGTTAAAAAAGTGACTCCATCGGATTCCTAGGGATCTTTTTTCATTACATATCACGACCGCGGGGATTGAAATGCCTATCGACCACATTTAACCGCGGCTTCCAAACGTACAGTTTTACATTTTCAATGTACTTCGCAATTTTCTATTTTTTCCTGATGTTTACTCTACCGAATACCGCGAACGACTATTCGAGGGATCGCCCGACTTTGGCAGGGGGGATTGCTGGACACACAACGGATACATTGACAGGACTTGGTACCGATAGGGTTGAAACGAAAAATCCAAAGTGGAACCAAAGTAGTTTTGCAAACAAAACTAGCGCACTCGCTCGATACACCATTACTCTTCTCTACATACGTCGAAATCGAGGTACGATTGATCGATCCGCCTCTATTATGTATATCCAGTTTCCTTCGACGGAACGTTCGGCCCCCAAAACCAGGTGATCACCGATAGTGTACGTTTGCAAGATTTGATTAGATCGATCGTGGGTCGGTACGATGATTTGAGTTTCAAATTATCGACAAGTATTTTGTGTAGTCCAACTTTTGAAAGTTTCGTCGCACAATACCCTCTCCCGCGTGATAGCTACTGATATCCAGTTGATAATAGAGGGCCGAGCCTCGATATCGGGTGATCGCTTTCCGTAATTACTCGATCGATTCCGCCCTATCGATCCAGACGTCCGAAATGGAGAATTCGTATCAGGTAACTCCCCATATGGGAGTTGTGGCCACCCGAGTAGCTGAATCTCATTATTCGGATATGTGTAGTAGCCATCGGAACCAGTCCAGATCCTGTAATCGAGAGTTGTCCCACCCAGCTGCGGCATCCAGCAATGGGTCGCAGAAACCGGTGAAACATTTTGTGCAGTTCGTATCTATAATTCCTTCCCCAAGGATATGATTAGAATTTCACTCCGGCTCGAGATTTCATGCATGGCGAGGATCGGTCATCCCAGGGTGCAGGGGGATGGCACTCCGCTTAAGCAGAGTGCAATCGCAATCAGCAAGTGCGAGCGGGCAGCACAATTGCCAAATGCAAGTGTGCTCGTTCCATTCTACGGTGTGTTAAACGCCGCGCGATATGGTCCGGCTCGTTAACGTGCGGTTGACAAACGCTCATTGGGTGCCGATAATGCACCTGCATTGACCCATACACTAAACCATTCGATACCATCGCAGTCGCCAACAGCGCCCTTTGTTTCCTCGTTTCGAAGGATTCGTCATAATTACGCGTCACATGTTCGGGCAGAATTTTACGCGTCCATAATCAACGGCATTCTGTAAGTGAAATTACACGAGTCTGACCCAAAACCACGAAGGAGATCGCCAAACGCCTCGATCCATGGTTCCATCTTCCATCCATGATCGATCTCCAACGCTCCCCTGCAAGGTCGCGACGAACGCGGCTGGTTTTAATTAAAATTGTAGCGTAACATAATTTAGGTACCCACCAGCCAACCGACGCGGCTCTTCTCGTTCATGAACCCGCTGGCGGTAGAAATCTGGCTGTACGTGTTGGCGGCCTACATACTGGTGAGCTTCACCCTCTTCGTCATGGCGAGATTCAGCCCCTACGAGTGGAACAATCCTCACCCCTGTCTGGCAGAAAGCGACGTCGTGGAGAACCAGTTCAGCGTCAGCAACAGCTTCTGGTTCATAACTGGTACCTTCCTCAGGCAAGGCAGTGGCCTAAATCCCAAGGTATCATCAGGTGCATCCGACGGAATGCACAACAAATTTGCCGATGGACTTCCGACCCTGATACCAGGCACTTTGAGGTTCCTTCAGGTTCCGTCTTTCTTGACACCCTGAGATGTGTAGAGTGCAACGCGTAATGCCGAAAGCGTTTTTTTCCAGCTCTCGGGGGAGGCGAAAGGGATGGACGGACCCTCTTCAGGGCTTCCATTTTGGTCCATCTTGGCGGTCCACTTTGAACTCTCGCGTGGGGTGGCCTCGTGGACAAGTTCGCAACTGCTAATGGAGGTCTTGTCGGTGTTCCTCAGGTTTCCGGGAGAATGCCGTCCAGGCTGTTCAGCTTCATGAATCCTCTCGCCGTGGAGATTTGGCTGTCGATGCTGGGCGCCTATGTGATGGTGTCGCTGACGATTTGGATCGTGGCCAGGTTTTCCCCCTACGAGTGGGTAGAACCTGCCCCCTGTCCCAGCTGCAAGTGTCCCCTGCAGGTAGGCTCCCGCCAAGTAGTGCAACGTCCAGGTGCATCATCCAGGCCCCAGATTTCGTTAGAAGGGCATTCCGGTAATTGATATAATCCGCGACTACGGTACCCCGGAGGTATGTTTAACACGACGTAAAAAAAAAAAAAAAAAAATAGACGACGTCGGTCGATCTCGTTTAGCATTTTCAATACACTTTTCGTCTGCACTTCCGTGAATTTCCATAACAGCCTGATGAATTGCCCGCGGTCCGGATTATTCGACAATATAAATTTGCATTGCCGCGCGGGAAATGCATCTCTGCCGGGGAGGGAAAAATGGGTATCGGGGTAACATCGATGCAAAAAAATGCATCCACAGCCAGGACCAACCTATAGGCTTTCCGGTGCGATCCGTGGTAAGGACCGTCGGAGTGCAGTTTTGCCCCCCGTGTAATTAGAGCTTGTAATTTTGCACCACTTGGCGGGGGTTACGCTATCAGGGCGGTCACGTCGGCTCCCTAGAACCTGACAGCGACGACATCGAGCTGCCCACGAACGTCAACGAATTCACCATGGCCAACAGCTTCTGGTTTACGGTCGGCACCCTGATGCAGCAAGGCAGCGACCTCAACCCCAAGGTAACGACATCGCAGAGTCGGCAAAATTCGAGACGACCGTACAAAATGTTTTTTTTCCGACTGTTCCAACGGACGACTCGCCGCGGTGCTTCCCGTCTTTACGCCAGGTCGAAGGAGACGCGACACGACTTTCGGAGCATCTTTGAAAGACTCGGGAATTCTGAAAAGGTCTCTTTTCATCTCGACTCGCGCCTATTGTGAGCCGGCGAAGACTCGGACCATCGGATCCAGGGATTCGAGAGTCGAGAATCTCGTTTCCCTCGATAAGAGCCGAAGAGCCGGAAGCTCGGTCGAGCTTTTAGCGTCCTCGTTAAGCGTTTCCAGCGGTAAATGGCAAGCACCTCCACGAGTCTCTCCGTTTTGCCTTACGAAGCTACGGCAACGTCTCGAGCACCATATGAGTACACCGTAGTGTTTTCCGAGATTTTCCTCCTCGAGGCTCTCCCCTCTTCCCTGCCTCCACTTCTCCGTCTGGGAAGTCTTGAGAGGTCGACGGAAAGACCTTTTGAAATTCGTTACCCTCTTTAAGGGAGTTAAATGTATAGTCTCGGAGCTTAAGAATGACCAGAGACCCGAGTTACCGAAGCATGCCACCCCTGCATGCACATAGCGGACGAGCACCTTATGTTTTTTCCGACGTCATGTATTTTCAACCACCCTGCATGCCGACGCGACCCCCTGCAAGCTCGTTCCCGTGAAACCTCGCGACTCGTAGCCATACAACTTGTATCGTCTTTGAGATAACTACGTGGGGCCGAGTCTATGGGAGTTGGTCCCGGAGAGGTGTTTCTTAGGTAGAAGTAGTTCAAGGAAAATCACCAAACTATCCTCGTCTCAGGATGGAGCCGTGCAGTCGCTCGATGACGTTAACGTTGACGGGGGAAATTGATAAAAATCTCAAGTACAAGCATCGTTGACAAGAGTGTAAAAAAAATCGCATACGAGAAGAACGCTCGAGGAGAGAGACCAAGAGAGACCTGTCTGGTGCAACATTTGCATTGTGCATCGCCATTGTATGCACCGTATCCGCGTTGGCAGGTGCACGCGTAGTTTGGGTTCTCCACGGGTGACAGATTGCAAGTTTTTCCAATTTCTCCTGTTTTTTTCCCTCCTTCATTTGGATGTCTCTCTCCCTCTTTCCAGTGTTCGCCTCTCCAGTGGCCGTAGCCGTTCCGCTCCATTGGACGCCTTTTTATCCACTTTTTTTTATATTCTTCCTCCTCCTTCCTGCCTTTGGGCCCCTCTAATTGTCTAGGTCGCTCCGTAAGCGAATACGTTCTCTCGAAAACCCGGACACGTCGCATTCTCCCGATGCCTCATCACCCTCGCGGCTCCCTTTCGCGATTGTCCTTGCCGGACTTTTTATCCCGGCTTGCCCTTCCTCGCCGTAGGAAATAATTTCATTACACCGCGATTTGAACAAAGAGTCGAGTCACCGGGAAGACGGTGCTTTTCAATTTTGCTTTCTTTCGCGAAAAACTCTCCCTCGGCGCTCGACCCAATTCCTGGGTTCCCTCCTGAGAGGTCGACGAAAGAACGCGAAGCATTCGCCGGTAATAAGCACGGCAATGCGTGCGAAAGCTCCGGGCCATCCGAGAGAGACGGCTCGAAAAGAAATATTTGCAAAACTACCCGAGCCTCCGTCGGAGAAAAAGCTCCAAAAGTCGCGAAGAAATCCCCGCCGAGGCGGAGACGCCGAACCGAACGGTGATTTACCCTCCACGACCGTCGACCCTCTTCGAGCACGGTCTTGGGAACTCTTGCAATTAAAACGCTTTTTCGTTCCCCTACTCGCAAAAATCTTTTAAACCCGGCCCCGACGCAGGGCCAGCCAATGACTCGTTTAAAAGTTGCAAGCCGAGGCTCCAAGTTTAATTTGAAAATTTCTCCAAGTCTCTGCCGGACCTCGGACTCCGGACTCAAGGTGGGGTGTTGGTTTAATTAAATAAACTCCTTGTTTTCGTTTCGAATTGTTCGTAGCGACATTTCTTGATATTTGTCCGGTTTCGATCGGGTTGGGCTGATAGGCGTTTGGGATTCCTTGTTTATAAGAGGTAATCGTTGGGTCCGTCGATGCTTTCGAGTTCTAACGAGGAATATTCAATCTTCGGGGACAGCTGCGAAAACGGGGGCGAAATTATCGAGCCGGAAGTAATTAATGTCGAAAGCTCCGTTTGTACAGTTGCACGGCACAGAGCGCGTGGATAACGACTCCGGTCACGGGGGAACAACGCAAACTGCGAAAAGGTTTCCCCCTGTTTCCTTTTCCTTTGCAGTCTACCTTTTTCAGGGTTAACTCCACCTAACCTTGCCGAGATCGCGAGCTCCTTTACATTCGCATTTTTCATGCCGCATGGGAATGCATCCTGCATCCGTGCATGCAGTTTCCGTTCGTTTCCCGATTTGCCTCGCTAGACGCCCAATGTTCCCTTGAACACCTTCCGTTGCCCCGGCATCTTCGCGTAAACTGAAACTACTACGTAAAATAACAAAAATAAGAGAAAGACCCGCAAAACTCTCATCCCTACCCAGGTGGAATTTACGCAGGAACTTTTTAACGAAGTACATTCATACGGCTTAGCGTAATTTAAGTCGTTATTTGTTTAAAAAATACAGACGAAGGAGTAAGAGATCATTCCAGTCTAGAGAGCCAAGTAGAGTAGCACTTGCATGCAAGTTCGATCTCGGTGGATTCAAGGTACTCTTCGGACTCCCAATAGTCACCGCCCTCGGTATTTATTTTTACGGCATGTCGATCAATGTGTACCCTCCATGTCCGGGTGCATGCGAAATTTTTTCCAAACCCTAGTTGTACCGAAAAACGAGAGTAGGTCTTTCGAGGTGGTTACGAGACGGAAGGGTGTCTACGAAAATCATCACGGTGACTATCGAGGTCTGTCATGTACACATGTACAACATATGGTGCTGGCCGGCTCTGTTGGCATGTATGTACATGCGGGGATGTCGTCGCTGCCACTTCTTCAGCATCCGCGAGACTCGCGACACGGTTGGCCACAATGGAATATCATTAGGGGTCTTAATTTACATGCCAACTCCGCTCTCGCGCTGCAGGATGCACCCGGGTGTGGCTCATTGCAACGCACCGCGGGTTGCTCCAAAAGAAAGAGAGAAAAAATACCGTGTCGCGAGTCGCGACCGCGGGATGAAATGTCGGTTGATACGTCGAGATTAGGCGAGTAATAAAGTTATCCCCGGCGACGATGTGCGTGAGAGTCATTCGAGTCTCCCAAAAATGCAGAAGCGGCCAGAAGTGGGTGCAGCTTCCGTACCCCGTGTATGCAATCATTTGCGTGCCCGGAATTTTTTCCGGAATCCACCCAGTGAGATAACGAGACCGTAACGAAGCTGATGGCCATATTGAATACGAAATTTAAATAAAACTGGCCATTACTGTCGCTACGACTTGGCGGGGAAAATCGTCATTACGCGTTGCCGGAATTACCGTCCAGGGCTCGGCGAGGGCAGATAAATTAGAACCATATCTTTAATTGGCACACGTATTTCGTACTGCAGGAAGTAATTACGAGTGGCCAGCCCTGACATAAATCAGGGCGAACCGATACCCGTTGTGTTTTGAGCTTTAAAGCCGCCCAGAGGGGAAATAACGAGGGGGAGCGCCATAATTGCCCGAAGATTCCTTGTAGCTTCTGCAAGGATCCTAGGTAATGCTGATAACGACGCAACGGGGGAGCGGGACGATTCCTCTTTTCGGTTCCTCGGAAGGAGACCAACGAACGCAGCTCTTTCCTTTTCCCAGGGATCGAGAGTTAAACGCTGGTATCAGGGGCGGAAACTTCCAGCCACAATCGCGAGTCTCGAGCATAAGCGAATTTTATTCCGCAAAGCTCCTCGAGGAAAGCAAGATCCCGGGGATCTTCGCCTTGACACCAGGGATGCTGATGGGTTTTCGATCGATCCTTCGAACTGTCATTAGACTCGAAGTATGGCATCGGAGATCTTCGACTTCCTCCTCGAGAATGCATTTAAAACCATTTAACAAGGCCTGCCGGGTTAACGGATGCGGACCGTGATCTTGGGTGGCTTTCGCGAGCTCACCAAAGATGCCTTATGACACTTTGCCGAGGATGATAAAATGGGAATATAAAATCGAACAGCGATTTGCTTGCAGCGAGACTCGCCCACCCACGCGAAGTCGAGGCCCCCGAGGCGGTTTTAAGTTTACTTTGATCTCGATTGAATTTAGGCCACCAGCACGAGAATTGTCGGCGGAATTTGGTGGTTCTTCACGTTGATCATCATCTCCTCGTACACTGCCAACCTGGCGGCTTTCCTGACGGTGGAGAGGATGATAACGCCGATCGAAAACGCGGCCGATCTCGCCGAGCAAACCGAGATCTCTTATGGCACCCTTGAAGGAGGAAGCACGATGACGTTCTTCCGGGTAAGACTGAGAAAAAAATATTTATTTATCGGTCATTGCTGCCGGTTTCTCTTGAATTTTACCCGGGATCCTAATTTACGAGCATTCGATCGCTTGGATCGTATAAAGATTTTAAAGAGCGCAACCAACGTTTATTTAGTTCCATCCGATTTCTTCGAAAGCTTTTTCGCGATACAAACTCTGCACGTGCATCGCGTTACACAAGTCGGAGAGCCAAGTGTGAGTCCTAAAAAGGAAATGGAATTTTCCGGTCCAATCGGAAGTCGTGGACTGATTCCAAACAGACACGAGAAAGGTTTCCCTTACGAAAAGACTCCGAAAAGAAATCATTCCAGAGATCAACTCCCTAAATGAAAGTTTTCACCCTTTAGAAAGTTCCGCAGGGTCACCGCGCTTTTGGCTTCTACGTGTCTCGGCGATTCGCTCGCTATCGAATTCTCTGAAATTGGCAGGGATTGCGGGAAAATAAAAAATCTCTGGAAATTATTTAATTTTTGTGGTGGTTTGCTAGGACTCGAAAATCGGGATTTACCAGAAAATGTGGAGATTTATGGAGTCGAAGAGGCCTTCCGTCTTTGTCTCCACGTATGAAGAGGGTGTCAAAAGAGTGCTCGAAGGCGACTACGCTTTTTTAATGGAATCCACGATGCTCGATTACGCGGTACAGAGGGATTGCAATCTCACGCAAATCGGAGGCTTACTGGATAGCAAAGGATATGGAATCGCTACTCCGAAAGGTAAATTTCTGAGTTCTCGACCGATATGTCTGCAACGAGTTCTGATCGTCGAAACGTTGATTCCTCTTGCCTAGGATCGCCTTGGAGGGACAAAATATCCCTCGCCATCTTGGAGCTGCAAGAGAAAGGGGTAATACAAATTCTTTACGACAAGTGGTGGAAGAACACCGGGGATGTGTGCAACAGGGACGAGAAGAGCAAGGAGAGCAAAGCCAACGCTCTTGGAGTCGAGAATATTGGTGAGTTCTCCATTGTTTTTGATACGTTGGCAAAGCAAAAGTCATTAGAATTCTAACTTACATTTTGATATGTACTTTATCGATTAAAATTGAATCTTTCCTGGAAAACACCAGGGACAAAGAAATGGTCCCCTGCGAGGACCTACGAATACCAAGAATAGGAATCTCAGGGAAAGCGAGAATTTTTATTTCGCGTCCGAGTGTCACTTTGACTAGTATCTTGAGAGAATATTATCAGTAGGTGAAATCCCGCAGAGATATCCTCATTGAAACTACGCGAACGGTCTCCGGGATAGGAAATAATATTTTTCCTACGAAGTCCAAATTTTCACGCAAAATCTCTTCGACTCTTAGGGGACCGTAAAAATTCGACTACCGCGAGTGACGCGAAATTTCACCGATTTACCTACAACTGGCTGCATAAAATTCGAGCCGTAATGGCGAAAGCCTTTCCCGGAGCAACGAAATGTCCAAGGTAGTCAAGACCCCGGAGAATGACTCCACGCAATTGCCAAAAGACGGGAAACTGGGACAGCGCGCCGGCTGGAAATGCTCGAAATTGCAGCAAATCAATGCATAAGTATGTGCCACCTTCGATCACACCCCACACAAAAGCGAAAATTTGCAGAACGAGCCGCTTCGACGGGTACGACCGTGTACGAGAGAGTACGGCTCGTTCGATACATCAATTTGAAGGGAAGAACGGTTAACAACGCGCCAAATTGCACGAGCGACTCCTGAGATTCCGAAAATAGAGAAAAGACAGCTCGAAAATTCATTTCCGGTGGATCCAAGATTTTTTGAATAAAAAAATCTATTTTATTACTATATTTTCTCGCGTCATTGACGAGATCGCTGCCGAGGACGGGCAAATCTTTGCCCAGTTAATGGCTAATCTTCGCCTCTGCCAAGGACCTCGTTCTCTCTCAGCTCGGTTTTCAAGTGGCTATTACACGAGTGGGCCCGAGATTAAGACGAAATTCCCATGGTACAGGACTTATCGCGAGTTTCTGGAGCATCGGCACGGGGTACGTCGGCGGAAGTGCCATTTGGATGCAGCGGGTGCTGGTAATCCGGAAGCTGCGCCGTCCAATCCTGGGAGAGTTCCTCCTCTTTGGTTCCAAGGCGCATCTCGCGTCGCTTTTTCACCCCCCACGAGTCCGTACGTCCTGTAACTTGTTCCTGCATTGGCGGAGATACCGGCGCGAATTCTCGTTATCACCAGAAACTCACCAGCCCTGCCCTGGGAGATAGGCGCGAGTCCGACCTATGACGAGCAGCCACCCTAAGCGGAACTCGCGCTCCGGCTTCCGGTGTCACCTAAATCATGACACCAAGAGTTATGCACATCCGGCAAGCTCGCACGGGAACCCTGCCCTCTCGTGTGACTCCAACTCCCTAAAGTAAGGACCAAAAGGGTTACGTTGGGGACGGTTCGATGGGCGGGAGAGTTCGCGACCGGGAAGACAAAAGAGAGTACAGAGGAGGAACGAGAGAAGGAAATCCGAAACGTCTCGAATATTCCATCGGGACGCACCAACTGCGCGGTAGTATCTTTGACCTCGCCTCGGAAACTTTTTTAATCCCAAGGATTTCTCCAAAATGTCTTCCCCGGGGAGTGACGGTTCGGCGCTCCATATCCGGAGCAGGTCGGAACGAAGATGCCCTACGTGCTGATGGATTGAATTCTCAGCTTTTCGAATTCCTCCCCGAGTTTACGGAACTATGGAGACGGAGTTTCCACGGAAACAAGGGAGGGTGAACTCGGAGGTGGAGATCCTGTCGCCACCGCTAGAAAGGGTTGTACGGTAAAAAAGGGAACGCTTTAACAGAGTTTGCGGAGACGAGGAGCGGATTCATCTAAGTGTTCACGACTTTAAAGTTACTCCGCCGAACAAAAATGTCGGAGTAAAGACGTCCGAGTGTAATTTCGGCACGAGCAAGGGGGACCAACTCGCGCAAGGAAAGTTGCACCCCGAAGCTTCGTTAAGCGGAGGGTACCCTATCCGGTCCTTTCATCACGGGCTTGCAAAACTCACTTTATGAGTAGTTAAGGCGTGCCCTCGAAAACCTCCGGGGGACTCGGAATCTGGAAAACAAGGAAAACCACAAGAATCTCATAAAACCTTCCCGGCGAACGATACAACTCGGAACAGATCACCCGGAAGTAGTAGCCAGAGGAGTACGGAAAAGAAGGTCAGCTTTCCTGGCTCGAGAGCTTTAATATCCTCAACCTTGCGCTTTCTGGGCACAACCAAAAAACAAAGCAAGCAGCCAAGAGGCATCGCCAGAATAATAACGGGAGAAACATCAATCCCCGCCGTCGTAATATTCCGAGTAAAAAGGAGAATCGATCCTCTTCGCTATTCCGCAAAAATAGTTAATTCTACCCGCTTCAAACTCCACTTTAATAGGAATCAGGGATGCAGATTCAATGTGGCGGCACCGATGAAGATTTGCCGATGGTATTGCCGATATCCCTTCTCGAGACGTCACAAATATCATTCTCGGTGTGCCAATTGTTTGTTTAACTCTGATAAAACTCGATTTTCATGCGTTTAGCTTCGATCGAGGAGTTTCGTCCCTCGCAAGCTCGAGTCGAATCGCGTCCACCTCGGGGGTGGTTTCTCCGCCCCCGCAAGTAAAGGGGCTCTCTTCTTCGCCGGAGAAAGCGGAGGAGGACTCCACGAAATCGTGTCAAGAATAGAGATGCGATCTCACCTTCGGCCGACGATGCAACGGCCCATGGAAAAATGTCCAAGTTTTGATAAAGTCCGTAACCGGTCGCACCCATGAATACATAGTGGCCTCTTTTTACAGGCGCGGCACGAGCGCCGATGCGACTCGTCCCTTGTAAAGTAACGACGAAAAGGAGTCCAAAGAGATTGTCATGTGCGGATTTAGGCGAGCAAGGCCCGTATAACTCTTCCGGGTTATGCGCGATCCCTGGATTCCGATCCCGGAGGTCGTACGTGTCGCGGCGTTGCACCCTATGAACCCTATGCACCTCCTGCACCCCATACACCCCATACACCCCGTGCACCACATGCACCCCCATGCAGCTGCATTCGCGACTTGATTCCTATGGCATTTATATTCCGCCTGTATTCCTGGTGGCCCACTAAATTCTTGGGACGCGCTGTCGAACGGCTCCAGGAGAATCCTGATTTTCTACCTTTTCTGGAATCCACAATGGGGCATAGTGTTGCTCCCAGAAGTCTCGACTCGTCGTTGTCTCTCTTATGTTTCCATCTGGAGAAACTGAGGGAGATGGTTATAGAAATGAATTTTTTATTCTCCTTCAAGGGGGAGTCTTCGTGGTACTCCTCTGCGGCCTCGCTCTGGCCATCCTTGTGGCCATTCTGGAGTTCTGCTGGAACTCGAAGAAGAACGCCCAATCGGACAGAGTAAGTTTATTAACTATTCGAGTAGTCCGTTCCCAGATATATGTGTAACATCAAGTATTGCATGAACTCGTGAAACCTTGCCTAAATGATACTTTTTGAGGAACAATGGCGTCCAAACTCGTGTCTCCTCTGATCTCGAAATTTAAGCTCACGGCTGGGTCTGATATCGAGAAATATCGTTATGACAAATTATTTCGTATCACCCTCGCGTTTCCTATCGGGAAATATAAAAACGAAGGGGACGAGTTACGATTTCGACTCAAAAACAATAGTTACGAGAATCGCTCGGGCAAAATGTCGCCACCGGAAGCATATCAGTCGTTATTCATGATCGATGTAACAAATTCCGAACGATTCTCGATGTACATCCCGCTGCATGCATCCTGTGCTAATCGTTGCGTCGTTGTCTGATGTTGTAAAGTATAATTGACGTATCGCATCCTCTTAATAGTGTTCTCTAGTAACTCATGCGACCGCATTCATCTCCATGGTAAATTTGACGATACGTGATCTTGTGTAACAATTTCGTAAACAGTTTCCTATTTGTCGTGCTGTACATATTTGATATCGAACCATTGGTCCATCACAACCTGCTAAAATTGACAAGTAAGCCATAATCGATATCGATATCTGGAATTTTGGCATCGGCGATTTCATGTTCAGATTATCATCCTCCCCTCAACTGGAGTGTAGAAGAGACGCGATAAATGTTTAGGCCTCCCTAGACAATTTTGTCGTAAATCCCTCGACAATTTGTGTGTTGTCCAGGAATTAACCTTTTAATTCCATGTGACTATTTTTTTTTGTTTTAAGTCGATTCCATAAAACACTCAAAATTTGCTAACGTAGTAGTGCTCTCTAAAAGCCCCGAGTATCATGGTAAATATTCTCAACTCTATCCGACCATTAGCACGATATCCAACCCTCTTGCCCTTGTAACGAAGTTACATCAACAATTAAGATCGCTCCAACAAACTTGATAAAGTCGATCCTCTCGGGAAGCTTATTGCTGTTCATAAATTAAACAATTCCGAGATATCGCCATTTCGAGGCAACGCTGCGACATGATTAGACGATGCAAGCTCTTTGTTGGGATTTCTGTCATTAACGGCTGACCTAATTTTCTATGTACCTACTTTCATCGGCATTTCTCTCACTTTAACAAAAATGACAAGTTTTAATTTACGGAAAATTCGAACCTGTTCGCGTCGAAGCTGACCGGTGCACCGGGCGATGCACTACAGCCGACCACCGCATTATCACGGCATTAATGTTGTAAAAAGGGGATACCATGGCATTACCATGATAATTCCACGGTTCAGCGTATCAAGTGAGGGGGTAATTAAATCCCGATTTCAGATGAACCTTTTCGATTATCGATATTTTCGGGAGAGAAAACGCAATTTGAACGCGACTTGCGGTGAGTCTTGCGAAGCTTGCCTCGTCTATGCATATTTTGGAGTTCGAGGAACTCGGTGGTGGTATCGGATGAGGAAATGAGGTGTACCAAAAATGAACGCACGCAGTCCCTGTGCGCCGAGATGGCCTCGGAGCTGCGCTTCGCGGTGCAATGCGGCTCGCGGCAGAGACCAGCCGTAAAGTCGCGCTCACCTGCAGCTGTACCTTGCGCCAGATGCAGTCCGCATTCCTCTACCAGGCGGAATCGCTACTGCAGCCACGAAGAGACCACCTACATACCGAGCATCGAGATACCTCGATTAAATGGTGTAAGTCCTGTCCTGCACGAAGGGCCCACCTACCTCGGGGCGACTCCTCCGGAAAATCAATTTTCCCGCGGTCAAACAATTTTCCACGTGAATTTTATCGGTCACATCGGAACACGCGTGCGATCTGGACACCAAACATGGGCAGTCGAATTAATAAGAACGACTACCCATTATAATAGCTTGATAGCTTAATTCCGAAGTCGAGAATCGAACAGGGGAGAGCAGGGTAAACGAAAATGAGAGAGCAAAAACTTTCCCGGGAAGTTCCCTCCGAGGTAGGGAAACTGCACTCGAGCCACGACCGTTCGATTTCTGCGCCCTCGCAAAGTCGCTTCCAAAGCTCTGAAGTATATTTACCATAGTATTATTAAACCGAGGAAATCGAGCCTCCCGATTGATGAATCCGCCCGGAAGCGGCGAGCAAACTCGACCACTTAAATTCAGATGCCTCGCCAGGAGGTAGAGGGGTGATAATGAATTTTTGCATTTTTCAAATGGAAAAGAAAAGCTCCGATCGCGGATCGGTGAAACGATTCTTTCGGGGGAGGTTCCAAATTCCCACGGAAAATATAGTAATGGGCTCCGGTCTGGCTTCGAGGCCAAAAGTCAAATTCAAATTTTCAGCGGTCATACCTCACGGGCTTCATCGAACGGAAATGAAAAGTCTTTAATGTCCCGAGCGATGCATCAGACCCGTCGAGCTCTCGAAAGGACAAAACGGAGCGGAGTTTCGGGACGAATTGAACGATCGCAGCTCGAACGCAGTTTCGAGAGTCCAACTTTTACCAATAACGTCTCAAAAAGCTCAAAAGGGGGATCTAATCCAAATCCGTCGCCGATTAAGGGAGTATCGAGCTCGTAATAAATTTCTCCGTCTCGTAGCGTCGCATTTACGTGCGACTCTCGGCTTGAACATGTACCGAGGGAGAGTGCCATTGTGTGAACGTGACACGTGTGTATATACGTATATGTGCGTCAGTGTTATGCATTTTGGCACGCCAAACCTTGCCACTTAGTTAATTGACTTTTCGCGCGAACTCCGGGCTGAATTGACTTAACACGCTTACATACGCAACACTTGATACCCAACCTCGACTTGCATGTGTGTTTCAGTGTATTGTCGTTGCAGAAGTCGGATAATCGGCCCTCGAACGAGATCATTCCCTTAAGCTCGGTATTCTTGTGCTCGATGGCTCATCTCTAATACTCGATATAGGCGATAAAGTCGATTAATATCAGGGATTGCCTCGGGCGAAACGTCGGAATTTTGACGAGGGCGATTTTCGGAGGATCCATCGACAAAATTGTGTCGACGTTCCCAGGGAATGGCCGAACTTTCCGGCGCCCCTTTCCGAACAGAGTTTAACGTCAATTCCAGGGGCGACACGAAATCGCCGCGTTTTCGGAGCCCTCTCTGGGATTTCCCTGTCGGGAATTATTCCCACAGCTCGGGGACTCTTTCGGAGCTCCCATCTCCGACGACTCGAACTTTCCACAACGGAGCGTCTTTAATATCGAGCGGTCTTCATCGATTTCTTCGAGTTGGCCGTGGACCTCTTTGCTCGTGAAACGAGCTGTATTAATGCATACCATTTACGCTGACGCGGTACAAATGGCGCAGGAGTCACTGGGACGATGTAGAGTGACTTCGAGGGGCCGAAGTAGATTTCTAGAAGAGCTTTTCCGAGCTCAGCGTTGAATGTGCGATACATGACTCGACTACGTCGCCGGAACAGCCCAAAGTCGAGGGGACGTTCGCGGATCCGGAATTGCGAGCTGGCTTTACCCTCGCAACTGCATGCGTGCACTTCTCAAAACCACCCTGATAAAAATCGATATAAATCTACGCTGGCATTTTTATCAGGGCAGAACTCTGGATCGTTCCTCGAGTCCCTTCCTTCCCAAATTTCCGTGTTTTAGGGACGAAATTCCCTGGATCTCCAGTTTCTTCTCTGAAAATTTCAAAGATTACAATTTAAATCCTAATTACCCGCGAACCGAAACCATCCTGGAGAAGGATGCCCCAGCTGCAGGTAAATTTAGATTAAAGGAGCTCTTCGAACTTCGCTCGGGGGTGGGAAGAATGGAGTCTCCAAGGAGTCGAGTTTTCAACTCATTCCGAAAACGAGACGCCGGAAGGGGAGCCGCAAGGAAATGCGGTTCTGCGAGCTCGCGCCTTCCGGCAGGACAGCCGCCATCTTGGTATAGCTAACACTGTTGGTAACTCTCAGCAGGAGGGTGGTGCGTTGCCGATGACGGAGATGAAGAAGTCATTGAGCTTCGATCAAGTGGCAGCTGCCCGTGGAGGGAACACCTAGCACAGGCCTCCTCCTCTTCGTCTTCAACCACCGCCCTGCAAAACCCCCACGCACACGCGTCACACACACTGCCACTCACACAGTCACAGTCACAGCCACAGTCGCACGCACAAACATCAACCTCCTCCGAGGCAAAGGCGGGGCTCTTCAGGCATCGCCTTGGCTCAAGGTAATCAAATTCCTCCTATCCATCGGCGATAACTTCATCTTCGACCTCGGCTGGAGACCTTGCGAATCCTGCTGGAAAATATCCGGAAGACCTGCAAATTGATAGAATTTCAATTTCTAAGTCACACCTCAAAAAATACGGCAAATCCAGCAGATGTCGCGTAGGATCATCGAAGTATCCTTTATAATCCTTAATTTCTGCTTATTTAACGTTAATTTCTTACATTTTGACAATCCGGCCACGCAGGAGAGGTGGGCTGAATTCGGGGAAGCGTCCTTATTTTTCGGGGGTATAGGATTCTTGGATGAAACGGTTTATGGGACGATCCAACAAGAAGGATTTCGAGGATTCGGCCCATCTCGTTTTCCGCGTGGTCGGGACTTTCAAGACGCGTTGCGCGGGTCGATAGCACCGGCGAATCTCACCCTGTGTAATTTCCTACAGAGACGTTGGAATTTCAGGAGGTGACAATCCTGAGAGCATCCTGTGGAGGTTTGACTGCGACCTGGCAGGTGAGCCCGACGTGGTGATATCCCCGCCACCCCCGCCACCCCCGCCTTCGGCGGCGATTTCAAGGACCACGACTCTTTGACCGATACTCGAAGAGGTGCCCACGGGGGTGCCGATCCAGAAGGAGCTTCCCACGCAAACTTGCGTCGCGGTGAACGTGGATCAAAAGGAGACCTGCTTATAGCGACGCCCCGTCGCCCGAGAGGTCGCGAGGACGTCACATTGAGGTCCTGATAGACACCCACGAAGAAACGTTTTCAGGGTCCTGACTTGCCAGGAATTTTTCCAAATCCCCCGAAATCGTCGTCGTGGGAGTCGCAAGAATGGCGAGGACGAACAAGGACGGGACCTCGGGAGGACCATCGACGGACCAAATTTCCAGCCATCACTGCCAAGATGCCTGAGAGAGAACACGGCCCGGAATGAACGCTCGTTCCTCTTGCGAAAATTTCTTACCGCAGCCCTGGTCCGAACGGGGCTTCCTCGGGACGAGGACCTCCTTTGCGGGGGGGTTTAAACGCCAGTTGTCGTCGAGGGGAGCTCGCGCGAAACTCCGAGGGGTGATCCTTGACCTACCCCGAGGGAAGGCTAGGAAAGGACCCCGAAGAGTGTCCTTAGATTCGACAGAAATTAAGCTTTCCTCGGTCAAGGTGACGTTAATCCTTCACTGGGGGTCGCAGGAATTTGCCATTCCAAGTTTAATGCGAGGGCTTGATATCCTTTCTTCGTGGTCTCGCGATGCATCGAATTTTCTTGGGAATTCTTGCGAGACCATTGGCAGGATTTTTATCGTGTTTTCGAAGGCAACGCTCCTCGACTTCGTGAAATCGGCCGCCGATTTGTATCCGAAATTCCGGTTGCGGTTTTAAATTGTGACCAATTCTTCTCGCTGATGTTTCCACGGGAAATGGATTTCGTCTACCTGGTAACGGCGTCGTTGAGAGTGAGTTATGGAGATAAGTAATCGGCCATATTGAGTCGTTTCGCGCTGAAGACCCCGTAGTAAATGGTTCGGCATCAGCGTGAATGCAAATTGCGATTGCGCTACCACTGCGAATGTCAATTTGAATTTTTATACCCGGAATATTAATCCATCGTGGCAAACGCTGAAACGACACTTTTGTACTTAATTGAAAATCGGGGAATACGAGGTGCGATTCTCTTCCACTCGGCGGTGATTTTTCCCAATTGTCATGGTGGAGATAGGCGTCTCGCGAAGATAATTACCGTTTCGGGAAGATGGAAGTTTCTTGCGGGGCGAACTTCTCGAATTTCTATGAATTTCTCTTTTCGGAGTCGCGAATCTCCCGGGAAGGAAAATATATTCAGCGCCGTTGTAATGACTTCGCTAAAAGCCGCTTACGCGCGGAACGAAATTTCAGATCGCGACGGTCTCGTTTCTGGGTCACGAAAATTGAAATCAGATTATTTTGAGTTTGTCATAAGGACGGCTTACGGTAATCCCGCTGCCATGGTAAAAATCCGCGCGGCGGTTGAGGTATTAAATTTCTCATGGTTTTCAAAATCCGGTTGTTTCGCGATTGCATCCGAAAAATTCACCTGGACGCGTTGGCGGAACGAGTAAAACGGGATGCGTTTCGAAACTCGGAGTGCACCCCGGGTATTTTGGAACTCTACCTGCAAATAAAATGCAGCTCGCGCGTTCAGAATGGGGAAAAATTTTAAACGATCCGACACCTTGGCTATCCCGCCGCCTTTTTACAATTTCAAAAAAATACCCGATAAACGGCACAAAGCAATGCCACACTGCGATGTAGCATAGAAATAGAAAAGATGCATTTCGACGAAATCAAGTCATCCAGTTGAGAATGGCGACGAAATCCTCTCGACGACAACGCAAATCTCGTTGTATTATACCGGAGACGTTGTACACAATTCTAGTTGTTGAAGTCATTGATAAATGTATAAATATGAACATAAATACATATATATATATATATATATATTCATATACAAAAGATAAATATATCAGAATAGAAGTACACGTACGCGGACCCGTAGGGAGGGCTGATCTATGACGGCATTTTCTCCTGTTCATTCCAGATTTTATTTTCCAAAACTGTCCAAGGATCTAAAAGTGCCAAACGAGTAGTTTTTGATACGATAAAAAAATGTAATGATTGACGTAATTTTTTTTTTTTTAAGAGCGTGACCTGAAATAAGCGATGGTGTACAAAAGTCAGACCTGAAGCAATTCTCTTTTTCTGGTTTATGAATGCCATTTTAGAGCAGTTTCCTCTACCGAGCCGTTTGTAAGGTGTATAGCCGCGTAAGAGTACCACTAGTCGTATTTTGTCACGACTGGAACAACGCCAAATGGTAGCCGAACAATTTTCAAGCGGGACAACAATTAGCGAGAACAGGCAGTAGCCTCGAAATTGACTCGGTGGATGGAGCAAAGGCATAAGTTTCAAAATGAGGTTTCGAGATAATTAGCCGAAAGTTTCACACGTGGTGGAAATAAATACTAGCAAGTTGTGTCATGGATGTGACACGATCAAAAAGTTACCTTAATATTCCACGAGCAGGGAAAATACCTTCCAAAATAGTTTCCCGATTCGCAAATTAGCAATTACTAATATTCTTATTATTTCGAAATCTCCCCTGCTAAGTCACCCCTAATTAATTAGCGAAAAATAAAGAAAATATTCTCGGACATTTGCTCCATCCATCGCTTCGATAACAATTGCAATTCTCGTTAGGCCGTTGAACCATATCGCGATTAATTACATAGATTGTGTCTACGCGAGGTTTCGTAAATCCACCGACGAGTTTTATTACTGTATGCGTATCGTGAGAGTGAGTAGATGGGGTAGGAAATGAGAAAAAGAATCAAAGTAATTACCAACGAATTGTTCCCGAAATAATGTCTCCCTTAAAATTGAGTTGTCTGATTCCGAGTGAGGATTAAAATCCGAAACGTGGAAGGTAGATCGATCTAAGCATGCCTATTTCCGTATTCTCTTGGGTTTGAATGCATTCAACTACAACGATTTGTCAAGGAACACTTTTCGAAAACACTTCGAATGTCAGGAAGGCGTCTAATTGTACATATAGGCACATCCGAAGTGCCGAGACGAGTACCAAACGAAACCCAGTTTACTTCGCCAGTACCAAATTTGGCCGAAAGTACATAAGTAGAAGACTAAGAAAGCGTGTATGTGCGAATAATTGCGCGAGAGAAAGCAAAAGACGATGGAGCGAATGCGCCGAGACGCGACGAGCTCTCCGGTGATTACTCGTTATCGATTTTTGATAATTAATTGACATTCTTGGTAATGGAATTAAAGTGTTAATTTTTTTACCTACCACTCGCCGATTTATTTTTAAGCCCCTTGCATGACCAACGCATTGAAATATCTGCGATTACCTCGTTACATCTCGTCTTCGATTTTGTAGCTCTCCGCAAAATTGCCGGGAAAATGGCGTACCGTTATTCCAGATTGACAATTGCATTCGTTTAACGTCGCTTAAAAGGTACGCGTTAAAATCTGGGCCATTCATGTTCTCGGCTCTCGAGGGTGGAAGAGGCCGGAAGCTGAGAACAGACGGCAAGGGTACATCGGAAGGAGGGTCGGGAAAAAGAGACAGGGCAAAAACTGAGGAATCTTGAAAAATAGAACGAGCGGGAAATAGAAATAGGAGTGCGGAAAAATTAAAAGGAAGAAACGCTCCCGAGCTGAGGCGTTTCCACGCATCTATCGGTTTTCGCTTTTCCGCTTTTTCAAACCCCTCAACGGACTCGCGGATAACTTCGAGACTTCTCCGATTTCCCGAAGTCTAAGCTCGAAAAAGCGCCTAAAAGGGGTTTCGAAGAGGAACGATGGAAATTCAAGCGCGCGAAGAGGAACGATGGAAATCCGAAACGGGGGAACAAATAAAAGAGACCGAATAGCGATCGAACGCCCTATGAATTGTCCTTTTCGGTCTTTCGGCAGAATTGGAGGTCTGGTTAATGCGACGATACGTCAAAGCGGATCCTCCGATCGCGGAATGCCTTCACGGCCTGTTGGATCGGCTCTTAATCGGTTCGTTAGCGAATTACAGGGGTCCTCGGGTAATTCGGCTTGCGTTTCCTTGACCAGCAAACCGAAAGCGACCGGCCATCGCTTGGCCGGAAATCGAATCACCCAGGAATGCTCGGTCCAAAAGGCGATCACCGCTTCAAATCCTCATGTAACCGAATGTCCGGTTCTCGATTCCATCGCGATACCGCCCAGGGAGACTGCAATCTAATTATTCAATTTCATCGCATTCCATATCAGTCTGCAAATCTCGTGAATCCCAATGAGAAAGCCTTCATATTTCGCTTTAAGTGAAAATTGAAAATCTTGAAAAAGGAAAAAAGCCGATTTTCGAGGCCCACCCGGTACGAGATGGTCGAGCAGCAGGACAGCGTATCGGTGGATTTATCACGCTACAACGAGCAACACTCGCTTCGGCGAAATTTCCATATTGATTAACAAACACGCT